TTCATGCTCGCTTTATTTTTCCAGTCACACAGGCTCAAATCATGAGAGCTGTACTCTAGTTTTTATTTCTTCCTTCCTCTCTGCAAACCAATAATCCAGCTCTAATGAATCAAGCTCAAAAAACTTTTTCATATTCATACCTGGGGTTTGACTTTCTATTTTAAAACTCTTATTTTTAAACTGTCATTTCGGTTATTGTAGCACTCTATTAACTAGTCTTTCGGTAGTCAATCTCTTCCCATAAAGCTTACACATGGCCATAAAACATCACAAAAATCTTTAATGCACCTTACAGTTTATATAAAAAATACCTAAGCTGCTTCTTAGAACATTGATTATTATCAATCATTATCAGTAATCTGTCCTCTTTCTGTAGGACAAATTTGCCCACCACTACACCTCTCCATGTACTTCATTCATACCAGATTCCAAAGTGTGGCTAGAAAATGCATTCACATTTCTAAATTTTCATTTACATGATATGCAAAATGGTCTCATCATAGCAGTTTCTCCTGTTGAAAAACATCCTTTCAGGCCAAGTTCAAATGCCACTTTTATTAAGAAATTTTGTCCTATCCTTCAGCAGATACTGCTCCATTAGCTGGACCTAATCTCTTTCTTCCCTGACACTCAAAATGTTATATTGTGGTATTATGGCACCTAACCCAGTATACTTAGTTATATTTTGTGTGTCTCCCTTACTATATCACAAGACTGGTACAGTCAGTGCCTGCTTCTTGTATCTTTTTTTTATCCTGAATATTACCTAGCACCACATCAAGTACCTATGTGATTTTAAGCTTACTGTTGAAATAATGACTGATTGAATAAATGAATGAACAAACAGTTGATCATCCGTAAATGTTACTATCAAGTAGTAAAATTCTATGACAAATACTTAGATAAAATCTTCTGATATTTACTCTAAAAACAAGGGAATAGTTACAATACTTTCATTTTTTTACAATACTTTTAAAGCCATTTATTGTTATGATTACAGGAAAAATAATTTCAAAATGACAGATTTTCTCATTTATAAGCTTATTAGAATAGTGACTGAGTTCTTTCTATGAAAGAAAACATGTTATTTCTATTTGATTGTGATGTCTGTTGGTTCCCTATCATATTTCCTTTCATAATCAAAGGAAGAAAGACAAATTAAAAGGCATACCCAGGGCATAATCATGAATGCTGCAGGCTTAGTGACCTCTACTTATGGACAAAAAATGTTTCTCTAGCAGACCAAGAGGAAAATTTCCTCAGAGCATCATTCCATTTAGTATGTCACTTAGCTTTTGCACTCAGTAGAAACATACATTCAAATGCTTAAGAAACAATTGCAAGAACATAATAATATTCTATTTATTTAGGAACCTATCCTCTTTTTTTTTAAGATTTTATTTATTTGGAAGAGAGAGAGAGTGCAAGCGGTGGGGGGGGGTGCAGAGGGGGATGGAGAGGAAGGGGGAAAGAATCTCAGGCAGACTCCAGGTTGAGCATAGAGCACAGGGGCAGGGCGCAATCTCAGGACCCTGGGATCATGATCTGAGCCAAAACCAAGAGTTGATGGCTTAACCTACTGAGCCACCCAGGTGCCCCCAGGAACCCAGTTTTAAAATTACTTCCTTGCATCAATCTAATGCCTTTTTGTGATTGTAATTGTTTTTAGTTTTGTATGCAAAAGGCCATAGGGGTGAACTGTCACATTTCAGCTCCATGTGCCATTAGATTGGCACTCACTGAGGTTATTTACCCAGAAAATAACTAGAAGTGTTAGTTTGACATTTTGTCATTAATATGTCTATTTTTTAAAAGGAGCATGTCATTTACATAATATTAATTTTTCAGTTGTATAGTGTTAACTCATTTTGCTTAAAAGGAAGTGATAAGTAATTTGGATCTAAATAATTTACTTAATTATGAATGCCTAGGAATTTCTATATTTTTTCCATTCCCAAGAAAGAGAATTTTACCACTGTCTTTATATTAGGTTAAGCTTAAATATTTTCCTATCAGAATACATTAAGTTACTTCAGCTAAAGAAATTAGAGATGTCAAAGGCAATTATGCTATTCAATCGATCTTCTAGGGTAGGATTATGTTTAATTGGGCATCTAACTGTAAGTAACCCAAACACCCAATTTATTGGTTAAACTCCTCCTAAATTACATTTCAGAAAATGTAAAGCAAGTGCCCAGACCTTTGGATTAAATTTACAAACTGCAGAAAACTTTGCAAAAACAGACCCACGACGTCATCCCTCCTAAGTATCTCAGAAACAGCCTCTTACAAGGATGTAGTCAGACTTGCAACTCCTCACAATAATATTCAAGCAGATAGATCAGTTGGAAGCTCTTCATTACGGCAGCTGTTGTGTGTTTACAGCTACATATGCAGACTGCCGAACACCCTCAGTGCACCATAAACGTAGGAATTACACATCCAGAATGGTAATAAACTCATTGGGTGACGTGCTCTCCAGAGTTTTCAGCCCCTTTGCTCCAGTTGGCAAAACTCTGCTAGATTTTAGTTGCTGTAGAAAAATATTAGATTGTTGTGATTTTTGTAAGTTTGGAGACAAACCAGAAACACATAAAACAGCAATAAAAAAGGTAAAAACATAGGCACTGAGATTATTATTATTTTAAAATTACAGTCTCATAGAGAGTTATAAGAGAAGCCACAGAAGAATAAATGAGAAAAATAAGTAAATAAGTGGCTGTGTTCCATAGAAGGTTAGCCTCAAATACTCTCTGTGGGCCAGCTCAGCTGTGTGGTACATCCTGTAGATCATACTAAGAAAGCTGCAGGCTATTAATTAGAAGTATATTTCCTACCATAATAATCTGAGAGTGTTGATAAATTATAGCTAATAGTTGAGCAATTTATTGGTTAAACAGTACTTCCCAGAAAACCAATCCAATTTAGAACAAGCTGATTTCTCTCTTAAAAGCAGGATCTCAAATAAAATTGATTTCTAAATTCATAATAGTGAAAGGGATATTCTCAGGCTTATAAGGAAAGAAGTTCCATGTACAAGAAGATGATCAGAATGTACAACAATGCCTGGCTGCAAGAGGGTTGTTAAGCATTGTTAAAGTCACACCAGCTTATCCCAGCAGTAAGCACTGTGTACTATTCATCAGTCACTGCTCTTGGACAGATGCTTATGGAGTTCTAGGTACAAGTGTATATAGAATCATTGGGAGAGCTTCCCTAAACGCATATCCCTGGGTACCAACACAAGATATCCAATCACATAGGTCTCTTCTTTCATTAATGGTTGGAACAGCTTTCAGAAATGACTGTGACCAAAAATCACGTGAAAGTTTCTGAAGAACCATAATAAAGGCAGGAAAATCAGAAACATGGAGGTGCATAATGGTAGGTGGTGGAATGGAACCCTCATAAAGCCATATGACATGGGACAAAGGAAATCTCTTAGTGTCTACAAACATTCCAGTTTAAAAAGTATTTTCTCCTTTCTCACTGTGTTTCTTCCCACTCCCTCCCTCTTAATGAAAATTGTTATGATGCCATTTTACATCTGGACTCTGTGGCTATGGTCTATTATTTTTTTCTCATTTCATGGCACTGTTCATTTGCCTTCATGCTTACTGATGAGTCCCTGCCAGGGGGCTGCTCCTGATGGCATGCTGGATAGCATGAAAAGCCTGGCAAGGGAAAAAAATGACTAAGCAAATTTTACTATCAGTGTTTTATTTAGAACTTGAAATGGATATAGCAATGAGTAAGCCTGCATTATGATCTTAATCCTTAACACTGAAAAAATTATTTATTATTTGAAATAATAATAATTCCATGGATTAAAAAAATATTTTTTCCCATAGACTCCTTCATCTGATCCTCAAACCAATTATATGATTTCTGTAAAAGATGCCCATGGTACTGCTTGGCAAGTAAAGATACGAAACACAGAGGTTTAAGGCATGTACATTTTTTGACATAAGGTAAGATGAGAAATTTCATCAGTTAAGACCTAGGCAAAGACTATCTAACCAAATAGAATTACACTTACAAGTCATAGAATTTCACAGTGACTGAGTTTCCTCACTTATAAAATGGGAGAAAATAACACCTATTCCCCTTGTCTTGCTGGCTTGTTCAGGTGGGTGAAAAACATATACAACAATGTATATGTTATAATTATTTATACTAAAATTCTTCACTTTTAAAGGACTGTTTAAAAAAATTAATGCTGCTAATGGGGAAAATTGAGGAATTTTTGGATGGTTCAATTACCTTTAGAACTTCAAGTATCCGTGTCAGTGTGGAGCTCCTCACCTTTATTTAGCTTCTTATTTCTTTTGATGCTTTATGGCTCAGAAGCAAACCATTCTGGTTGTGACCTTGCGGTAGAAGAAGCACAGCTCATGTGTAGCATTATGGAACATCTTTATTACAATATCCATTAATGCTCAATAAATAAGAGGGGCATGGTAGGACAGTTGCTTAAGGGAACTTATTCCAGGACAGACTTCCTGCTAGTTGCACTCAAATTATGAAATAGTCAAATTTCCCCAGGTGCTGAATTTCCTTCCTTCCAACCCATGATTAGTAATGGTGAGACTCCAGAGTGATAAAAATAACTCAGAAACTTTATTCAATCATAGTCTAAACTAGAAATTAGAACTAGAGTTTGCATCTCAAACCCAGACCTCAGAGAAGTGTTGATGTTCCATAAAGGTGAGGACCCATGTAAAAGGAAAAAATTATTAGCAGAAAAGAAGCTGAAGATTCTAGGTAAGAATAAGGATATGCTCAGCTGGTTGTTGCTTCATGCTCCTTGCTTTTTCAAGGAATGAAAACAAAGAAGACTTTTAGTATTCCTACTGCAAGAGAATGTGAAATTTGGAAAAAAGGGGAAAAGATTAAGAAAGGAAATGAAAACTGGAAGAATATGGAAATGGAAGAATATGATTTAGTCAAATAGAAGCAAAGAGAAAAGGGAGAGGAGGAGGTAAAGCTGGTCAGATAACTCACTTGGCATTCCCTGCCCCTGGCTTCTTTCTTCGGAAAATGTTGAGGAAAGTGTTGGAGCGGCAGGGCAGCTTGCCATCGCCAACATGCATGCGGACTACGTCAGAGGTGGTGAAGGCACTGCGGACATTCCTCTCAGGCTTGGCAATAATGATGTACATCTTGGGAGTGAACATGCACCCCAGGGCCACCGTTACACTGAGGCTCACTGCAAAGCAGGTGGTGATGATCTTGTAGTTGCTCCCAAAGTAAATGGGCACAAAAGCTAGCCAGATGATGCAGGTGGTGTACATGGTGAAGGCAATATATTTGGCCTCATTGAAGTTGGCGGGCACATTGCGGGTCTTGAAGGCATAATAGGTACAGCTCATGATGAGGAGTCCATTGTAGCCCAGAGGGGCCACCACACCCAGGTTGCTGGTATTGCAGATAAGGTAGACTTCCTTGATACTTGGGTAGGACAGGATGGGCATGGGGGGCTCCATGATGATCAAGGTTACCACCAGGGTTAGCTGCACGCTAATCAGAATTGAGGCAATGATCACCTGGGCCCAGGCGCTCATGAACCTGGGCTTCCTGGTGCAGATCTTCTTCTTGCTGCCAGCTAGGATACGTGCAATTCGGTTGGTTTTGGTCACTAAAGCAGAGTAGCACATGGCAGAGGAGAGGCCAACCAGAAGGCGCTGGAGGTAGCAGGATGTGGTGGTAGGTTTGGCAATGAGAGTAAAAGGGCACACATAACCAAGGAAGATTCCAGCTAGGATAATGTAGCAGAGCTCCCGACTGGAGGATTTGACCACTGGTGTGTCTCGGTATAGCACAAAGATGAGGGTAACAAACAAGGTGACAAGTATGCCCAGGCAGGAAAAGGCGATGGCTATGATGGATTCTATGTTGCTCCACTCAAGATAGCGCACAGGAATAGGTTCACAGCCTGTAATGAGAAAAATAGTTTTAATTTTTTTTTAATTTTTTCTTTTCAAGTAGGCTTCATACCCAGCATGGAGCCAAGTGTGGGGTTTGAACTCACGACCCTCAGATCAAGACCTGAGCTGAGATCAAGATTTAGATGCTTAACCTACTGAGCCACCCCAGTGTCCCAAGAAAAATAGTTTTAAAATCCAAGATTTCTGCTATCAATAATAACACTGCTTACTAGTTACCAGAGACATAGCTATGTTCACATCTTCCACATTTTGTGTATTTTATTTCTTTTTTTTTTCTCAAAAATTTTATTTATTTATTTGAGACAGAGAGTGAGAGAGCACGAGAGGGGGGAGGGTCAGAGGGAGAAGCAGACTCCCCGCTGAGTACGGAGCCTGATGCGGGACTTGATCCTGGGACTCTGGGATCATGACCTGAGCTGAAGGCAGTTGCCCAACCAACTGAGCCACCCAGGCACCCAACATTTTGTGTTATTTTAATTATTTTTTAAAATGCCTCATTATTACACTAATATATATACACCATTGTCTTATGAAGACAATTGTATTCCCAAACCTGATCTCACCACAAGACTAATGTGACATACTTGAGCCTATAAAAATAATCTTTTCTCCCAACACCAGCTTTACAAATGGATGCCACTCTGTGGGTGGAACTTCGTTCTACACTTTCAGAAAAAGAAAAAGAAGGAAGCTAAACTGTGTTTCCCGGGAAGGTTAAATAGTGATAATATAATAGAATACGTTAGTAAGAAATACACTAACAAAATTTTTATTTTCACGTAGCTATTGTCCAGAGGTAAGTCCAGCTCATAGACAAGTACTGTTTTGGCCGGCAGAGTGTTTTAAACATAAATTTTATTTGAATTCTTTAGAAGAATCTACATTTTCCCATTTATTACATATTACTCACTTTGTCTCACCCCTTGAGTTATGTATGATCCATCTGTGGCATCTGAGGGCCTTGAGTTATCAGCTTCTACTAGACATACCAAGTAAGGATGAAATCTCCTGTCATCCATCTCTTGAAAGGAGAGATGTTCCTAAATACCTGGCTTATCTTTTCCCTCAGATGGAGAATAAAGTCTGTTTTGTATTTCACGGAGAGAGAGAAATTTGTCAGGTCCTGGAGATAACCCCTTCATAGAATTTTGTGTTTGGTCTGGGCCAGTATTTCCCAAATTGTGAGAATAAAAATATGTCCATGACTTTAAGAAAAGACTCATTGTTCTACGGCCATGGGAACAGGAACCATCAGAACCTGTTTTACTCCTGTTTAGTCAACAACAGCTCCCCTCAATGAACATGATTTCTGCAAGCCAATCAGTCACTGTTAACCCTTGCTTCTGATAATCACCCAAGTAGAAACAGACTCAAGGCAATAAACGAGCTCCAGCCATTCACAAGTACACAGTCTTGACTGATCACAGTGGTCCCTCTCTCTTGTGTGTCAGGGGTTTATCTATGTCAAAGTCTCAACCTCTTCCTGGGAGAACTTGCGCTTCCTCTAAAAAGTCACATTTTAATCCTAAATCTTCTCATTTCCTTGCAAATTTTAGGAAAATGATTAGATAGATAATTTAGAATAAGAAGAACTATTATGGGGGGTTTTTGATAGAACATATTCAATGAATTAAAATATTTAAGAGTGGCTGTAAACAAATGAGATAAAATACTGAATAGTCAATACTAAACTTTTTTAGTTGACATCCTGAGCTTGCTAAATAAAATTCAAATTCCAGTGTAGTCTTTGTCAAGGCCTTTATAATCTGAAAGCTAGCCCTCTTTTCATTCCTTTTTCTGTGCAACTTTACCTGGTTTTGTAAATGAGCTAGTCTGTCCTTAGAGTTTTCATTAGAAAAGAATATTACATTTTATATTTCTAGAACACAAGTCAGATCTATGGAAGTTGAATTAAAACCCTGGTCTAGAGCCAAATTAAGAGCTATAATTAATGATTTTCCTGAACTTCAGGGATACAGGCAAAATATTTTCTGTAGAATTCAGGATTTTTATTAAATGCTTATTGTCGTACACTATAGATATGTACCAATTAACTCAATTAATTGTTAGCCTCATGGAGTAAAATGTTTAAAAGCAGCAGATTAGAAAACAGAAGATTTAAATAACCTAGTGTTATAAAGTTTAAAAAATAGAAAATGCATTACATAAGGCAATTTTGAAAGCTTTTCTTTCAACAAAGATGCGAAATTATAAACTAAATAAAAAGATAGACTTTATGACATCTTCAGACAATTCTGAGGTAGACTCAACACCTGACAAGAAAAACTATACCTTTTCTTTTTGTAAATGGGCTCAGACCTGAATTAGGGGACCAAACAGAAGAAAATGTTAAAATGTAAAATTACTAACTTAGAAAATATCCAAAAAAAAAGAAAATATCTAATATGTGATTAGACATTTCTAGATAGACTTAAAAAGTAAATAAGCCAGAAATCAATATAGTTGTGGATCTTTAGGTAAAACAACCAAAAGAGCCTCTGTTCTCTATGATCTGGGAACCTGTAGATAAGGAAACCTAGAGATACTTCAAACAGAAGTGTCATTTAAAGAACCAATGTCCCACATTAGCTAAAATTCAGGACTATTACTTGAAGTCTGTCCAGTGACTTAACTCCATGGCAAACACTGGTACCCAATAACTCCTTGTCCTTCCTCTGAACTCCCAAGGGAAGCAATACCTCTTTTTTATTGATACAGGTGTCTTTATGTCCACCAGTAATCTCACTATTAAGAGAACATCAGATAAATTGGTTTAATAAAACCATAGAAATGGTGAAAATCTTTAACAATCTCATGCCCCAACCCACAACTGGTACTTTGAGATTATTATGAGAAGGATACACTATTCTCTGTGACACAAAACCCACAATTTTAATAGGTAGGATTAACTTCTAGACAAAATGTATTATGGTTCCCTACAGATGATCAAATTACAGCTGCTAGTCATGAAAATACCTACACTATGTATAATTAAAAAAAATTATCTAAGGAATATGTTAGCCCCAGAATCCCTATGGATAAAAGACTTCACAGAAATAGGAAGATGGATTGGAACAGAGCACATAAACATATTGATTATCATATGTACCTAGATTATCATAAATCTTTCTTTTTTGTGTAAATATAAAAATGATACACCATAATCTAGATGTATTAACTCAACAGCATAGCACATATCAAAGAACCATTGCTCATTGTGGTAGGCTCACTGTAAAAAAAAAGGTACCGTAAAAGTTATAGATACTATAAAAATACTTAGAAATACGATAGAAATATTTTAGAGATTATCATGCTAAGCAGACTGCTCTGACTAAAAATCCTAACAAAAGCATTTCATATAAAACAAATAATTTATGATAGTAACAAATTCATGAAGAAGTTCAAGTATTCAATTATAGATACACAAAATGTGGCCAGAAAAGAAGTTCTTAAAAGAAATTCCAGAAATTTCATGACTGTGTTGTAAGATTCATGAAGATAATGTCTGACAAAACCAAAATGGCTATCTGAGAGTACCAATTAAAATATCTACCAGGCATTGGCTAAAATCCTGATGGAACAAATGAAAGAATTCATTTCAGTAGGGACAAATTGGCCACAAAATTAAACACTATTGGGGAAACATTTTTCCAGGATAGCAGATGTGGCCAGTTCATGCTTCATTTGTAATTAAATCAATTAAGACAAATTGTAAAGGTGGAGGCATTAACTGAAACAATTGCAAAAGAACCTCTGAGTTACTCCAAAGGGACTGTATACAGTTTTCTCCCTCTGTGGTTTGTGAATATGTACTAGTTTAAACAGTGTGTTTATTTTGCAGATGGGTTGAAGCATTCTGTTGAAAAGCTACAATACTTACAAAGGCTAAAATATGATGAGATTTTGTGGTCTTAGCACATTCCAAGTTGTCAATCTAGTGATATGGGAACATTTTCAGTGGAATACTTACTCATGAATTTAAATTATGCAAGGCTGTCTTCATTCCCAGCCCTCTGGACAAATGAAAAGGAACCTTAATATTGGTGAAGGTTACACCCCTTAGTGATTTTAAACTGAGGTTCTGCAGAGAGCCTCCAGAAGCTGAAGGCACATGGAAGTTGACTGTTTACTGAAGAACTTTATAGCAAGCTGATGACTATACAATGGTCTTCTGTGCAAGATCATCTGAAGAAGAGTCCTACATATATCATATTTCCTTTGTATACTCTTTCTTACTCATACTTCTCTTCTTTACTGATTTAAAACTATATAAATTTGAGTTTGCCTTTAGTATTCTCCTTACTAGTAATAAGTATTTGCCTAAACCTATGTTTTACTAGACAATCATTAACTCAATAATTCAATTATATCAACCTATTGTTAGGTATATCTCACTAACTTCCAATAATGATATTTTTGTATATGCAAAGATTCCACAAGTTCAGATATTTGAAAGGACTCAGAAGATTCATAGAACATACTCATGTAATGTTTTTTACTTAAAGGCAAAACGTATAACATAGTAAGAGAAAGACAGTGCAGGTAAGCACCAAGGGGCAAAGGGATATCCCAGTGCAAGCTCTCTAAGATCCTTACTCTCACAAGGGCACACTTCATCTTTGAACCGAGAGCTCAAGGCAGAAGTTCCCAGTGAAGTCTTTTAATGACCTTCAAGTCATATGGCCAAGTAAGCCTATCTAATATGCCAGCTGAAATCCATCAGTAAACAAACTGATTTTGGTTGTTACCAGTAGAGCTTCAAACTCAAAACTGCATTTAATAAATATCAGTCCCCTTAATGTAGCCAAGAGTCAAAGACAGGTAGGTACTCAGGCATCTCCACAGATAATCAGTTGTCCAAGCCTAGCTGTAAATTAAGCCTAGTCTACACAGTGTACCATACACAAATGAAGAAAAATATGCTTATGTTAGGAGATATGAGTATTCTGTGCTGTAACAGTACCATTTTGTCAACAACACCCCAAAA